GTGAAATAAAAATATTTTAAAAAATTTAAAACACTGATCTTTAAAATCAAATATATTGTTCTTTTATAAAATATCTAGGCATGTGCTGGTCTAAAACTAATAACAGCTGAACCAATTTATTCAATTCTACTACTTGGATATAGTTTAGAGGAAAATGAAATAAGGGAGTAGACATCAACTTTAGTCCCTGAAAAGAATACTATACAAGAAATTGGAAATAACATTTTTCTTGGCAATGTTTTAATCTCTTCTGTTCAATTCCTTCTCCGTTACTTGGTTGATTCACTCTGTACCAAAGTGGTAGAAAAATAAACAAGAAGTCCACAATATTTTGGGCAATCAGAAGGAGAAAGAAAAAAATGCTTTGAAAATATACATGCTCTTAATTACTACATTGGTTTTTTTTAATACATTGCTTTTACTTTGAAATCAATCTAGGGCTGTTATAACAAGAGCTACATTTCCCTATTCAATGAAATGTCCTAGTTATTTACCAATGTGACAGCCTATAGTTATAGGTTCGAAATCAACTACTACTAACACAAGTAAGGCATCATTACTCATTTTCCTGACCTTCAAATGGCCTGTTTTGATTGTAATATGCTGATCAGATATAGACCTTCCCCTGGAGGCCCCACTGTGTAATTCTGCACATGGTTCCCTGAATCTCTTCCCAGGATCCAGCACGAAAATTAACAGGAAACACCCATTCCCTGGAAATTGCCTTTATGCAATCAGTAACGTAAAACTAAGGACCTTTAATAAATAATGAGGAGAGGGTTGCAACCTACACCAGGCAAACTGAAACATCTGCTTTCAGTTTCTGCTTTGAAGTTTTGATTTTTTCCTTTTGGAAAAAAAAGATCAAGCCATTACGAACTTTGTGGTGCCAACAATTTCACTCCCTTAGTATGTGAAGAGGGAGCTGGGGCGAGGATAAGGAACCATGCATATGCATGACCATGAATAGATACATGTGGTTTTACCTGGGTATTGCTGTTTCAAATTCGACATAACTGATTTTTTTCACGTTACAATTTCTTGATTATTGCACCATCTTCTTGGAAATATAAAAATGTAGGAGGAAGTTGCAGTAGGAGGGCCTTTGACACATTGGGGGATCTCAGACATAAAAACAGGGAATTCCAGGGTTTTTAGATTCACAAGACAGTCTCCTGTAGATGAAGTTGGCAATTTCTCTGGAGGAGATTTGAGATTTCTTTATATACCCACTTTCCCCCCTGCTGGCATGGCTCAATGGTTGAGCGTCGACCTATGAACCAGGAGGTCATGGTTCGATTCCTGGTCAGGACACAAGCCCAGGTTGCAGGCTGGATCTCCAGTGTGGGGTGTGCAGGAGGCATCTGATCCATGATTTCAATTCCAGTCGGGGGCACATGCTAGAATTGTGATTCTCTCTCATCATTGATGTTTCCTCTCCCCCTTCTCTGAAATCAATAAAAATTTATATTAAAAATAAATAAATAAATGAATGAATGAATGAATGAATGAATAAATAAATAAATAAATAAATGTAGTGCCTACAACTTCAGTATTGGAGTATTGGAGATGTGGTCCGATTAGCAGAGAAGACAAGGCTGAGGCCGAGTTAAATTTCACACACTGCAGGCAAACCGATGAAGGGAGGAAGGAGATATGGAGAGAATGCTTCATCGGAAGAGCTAAGACACCATGACCAAATGCTACTTACCGGAACACTGAAGTCCACTGCCTTTATATCCCTGCTTGCATTTGCACTTGAAGGATCCTTGGGTATTGAGGCAATTGGCATAGAGGCTGCACGTATGGGTATTCACAGCACATTCATTTATATCTAAAAATGTGAACAAGCTTGTAGTAACAGGGCATGCTGAAAGACTACCATCTTGGGCCAACCATCAACATCACCAACAAACCAAGTGTGGCCACAGAACTGTGAGGTGTTCATAACCCCCAGTGCGTTGGCCCGGAGCCCCAGCTAGCCTGACACCAGGTAGGTAGGAAGTGTCTGTAGCTCGCCACCCCACAGCAATCTCATCTGCTTATCCATCCTGCTGAAATCTGTAAGATGTGTAGGTTGTTTTCTTAAGTGTCCCATCTGTCTCATTTAGAACTAAATCACAATATCAGGAAATACTTTCTATACAGGGAAGGGTTTGGAACTCTTAACAAAGGACAAGACTGGCCAGGAACCATCGACATCATCTGCATATATATAGGCATTTTGTTCAAAGACCGGCAGACTGCCAGGAGCAAGGTCAGGCTGGTCTGAACTTGTCTGCTGGATTGAGACTAGGAAAGTCGACCAAATTCCACCCAGGTGAGAAGTGCATTGGCCCGCTTCTCCGCCCGCTTTCTAACTATGCTTTTGTAGACATATACACACGAAATAGTCTATTGTTCTTAATTTAGCCACAAAGGGAGTTCAGAGGCTAATCTCAATCACTTTTGTTGTTGTTAATCCTCACCTGAGGATATTTTTCCATTGATTTTTTTTGGCATTTATTTATGTTTGTATGTTTGTATGTATGTATGTATGTATTTATTTATTTTTTCCATTGATTTTTAGAGAGAGTTGAAGGGAGAGGGAGAGACAGAGAGAGAAACAACAATTGGTTGCTTTCCACATGCACCCCGACCAGGGCCAGGGATTGAGCCTGCAACCAAGGTACGCGCCCTTGACCGGAATCGAACCCAGGGCCCTTCAGTCCTCAGGCTGATGTTCTATCCACTGAGCTAAACCAGCTAGGGCTAACCTCAATCACTTTTAAAATCACAAAAAGATGTGTTTCCTTTGGAAGCTCTCCATGCCTGTCCCGTGGAACCTCCTTGTGGGTATCAGGGAACAGGCTTCTGCTGTGACACGGCATCACCCATTACAGAGCTGGGCGGGTCTGCAGCAGGGCGTGGGGTCCAAGCCCACGAGAAACAGGGACTTTACCAGCCTGTCTGGGGTGGTCTTTGCATTTGAGAAGATCTGACGGAAGAGCTGTGGAAGCTTCACAGGACAGTTCAAAACCCAGGGATTGAGTGTTGCCCCAACGTGATCACACGGGATGCGTCCTGGGATGCAGGGTTGAATGAATTCCGACTTTTCTCCCACCATCAGCTTTCCATGTCATGTGCACGTTTGCTACACATGTCATGTGACTAGGATTCTACAGGGGCCTGAACTCCCCTTCACTATAGGACAGTGGTCGGCAAACCGTGGCTCGCGAGCCACATGCGGCTCTTTGGCCCCTTGAGTGTGGCTCTTCCACAAAATACCACGTGCGGGCGCACACGTACAGTG